GTGTGTGTGTGTGTGTGTGTGGAGTCCCTTAAAGGTGAATGCTGCCCTCTAGTGGATCAGAATCAGATCAGAAATACTTTTTTCTACTTACAGACGCCAGAGTCTATGGTTGAACCTGATGATTATAGAAGAAAACCCTGAAATCATATTTTATTAATTAAATGAAGTTTTTTCAGTTAAAATCTTCAAAAGTGAATTCAAAGGAAACAATCGAGTTGTTGTTTGATCAAACTCTTTCAGAGTCATAGACGCAGACATGTGTGGAGAGTGTTAAAGAGGCTGCTCTCTTTGTGTCTCTACCTTTAACTCATTTATTAACATCTTAGTTCTTCTTTGTGTTTTAAACACAAACATCTCTGTAAGTTCACATTTGGAATAGAAGCGTTTTCATGCAGCTTGAACATGATTCACAATCACAGTACAGGAAGTTCTATAATTAACTAATCACTGAATCTCGTATTAATTAGTTTTCGTCTGTTTTGATTCTTGACGTTCAGACACAGACTCCGCCCCCCCGGTGACAGCCTGACCGTGCGCATCTGTCACGTGACAGTGTTTACTTTCCTCTGATGACCGTGAGTGTGTGTCGTGAATCCCTGACACACACACACACACACACACACACTCTCTCTCTCTCTCTCTCTCACACACACACTCAGGTGAGTTTAGAACAAACCTTCATCCATCACTGTCTCTGTTCCAGCTGTGTGTTAGCTTAGCTTCTCTGTTAGCCCGAGGTCTCCTTCAGAACTGTGGTGATTTAACGTTGTTTAGCGTCTTGTTGAAACATGATCTCGTCTGGAACCACAACCAGGACAGTTTCGGTTTCACTGTGAGTCTGCTTTTAATTCGGGGGATCGTCACGGACACCGGGAAACTTTCCCTCGTGCGAGATTTGTACTTTTCTGCCGAAACGTCCTGTTACTTCCTGGGACTTTCCCACACAGGTTTAACATGGTGGCCTTAAAGTTTGTTTGTGTGTTTGTTGAAGCGAAATGAAGAAGAACTTGCACCTTTCTGAAAACGGGTCGATCGGGATGTTACCACAGATTCACGCTCAGGAACCAAAGCGGAGGGTTTTTAAATTTGCGCAGATTCAAAGGAAGTTTGGTGTCAAGTTAACAGAAAGTTAACCTAGCATAAAGCTAAATAAGCTAAAGCTAACGACAAACTGAGTGGTCTCCCGCTGCAGGTCAGTTCTTAAAGATTCACTTGTTTCAGCTGGAGCTTCCTTCTCATCTCTTCATCTTCTGAGTTTAAAGCTCTTTATGAATGCAGCTGTATATATATACATATATACACACACATATATATATATACATACATGATGTAGTTATATATTATGTACAAGCTCTGTTTATCAATCAATCGAAGTGTATGTGTACAGCAGCTTTCATTCAGGTTTTAAATAGACAACAGATAAACACAAAGAAAACTAGACTGACGCTCTGTTTGAAGTCTAAATTCACTAGATCTAGATTTTTTATTTGGATTAGTGGATCAGAAACCTGGGTCACTTTACGATGGAAAACTTAAATCCTTCGTTCCTTCGTCCTGCTCTCAGCTGAACGACAGAGATGAGCAGCTCCAGGCAGAGAGCCAGAGATCTAGTGACGGCCTACGATCACAGTCTGGAGCAGCAGATTGTGGGACGAGGCTCCAGCCATGCGTGTGGAGACGAGGAGCTGCTGAGGCACGTGGAGGGTCTGCTGCGGGAGGGAGACGCTCAGGAGACTCACTGCCTGGGTCTGGATCCACTGGCCGTGATGGAGGAGTCGCTCAAGGCGGCGACGGCAACGACAGCGGCGCCAACCGCAGCCAGGGGTGTGAAAGTCCAATCCAGGGGACGACTGCAGGGCCTGGCCAAAGCTTTTGAGGTCCTGGAGCAAGCGTCCCTCAATCTGTACCTCGGCCCCTGGAGGGACGAGTACAAAGTTGTCAAGGTCGGTTGGGGGAAAAAAAAAAGAAGGTTTGGGGACATGGATATCAGGACCAGTCCAGTCAGGACTTCTGATATGATTCAATATGAAATGATGAAGGTGAAAACATTTCCTTCTTCCTGTTTGTTTGTGTCTCAGATGTATTCTGGAATGTTCACCCACTTCATCAAACCAGTGCTGTCGATGCCTCAGGTCGAGAAACTGTTCGGTCTGTTAGGATACCAGCCCAGCTCGCCTCGACACGAGCAGCTTTTCCTCCAGGAGCTCCGAATCAGTTCCGCTTCTCTGGACGATCTCCTCCGCTTGTCTTGTGCCTTCTACCTGGCTCGGTGTGAGTGTCGCCTCCTTCAGGCGGCCCTTGGGAAGCATGTGGGCGAGGCCCAGTGGGAGCTGAGCGTGGTGAGAGAGAGGCAGAGAGGAAACAGCCTGCAGGTACGTTTGGTCAATCAAGACGTTTTCACACATGAAAAAAACGAAGCAGTAGATTCTCCAGTCAGACACATTCACAACCACACAGGAAACTGTGCAGTGTTCAGGATGAAACTTTCCTCAGGAGTTCAGGAAATGTCTCAAAGCTGTTATAAACACAAATATTAGCAAAGACATACTGAAGTGTCTCTTTGCTTTTTGCCATGAGGACATCTAGTATAAATCCCAGGCTGCTGTAAACTCAGCGTACCATGACATTTAAATTGTTTATTACAGGTCGCCATGGACAACACCAAGAAGACCCTGAAAGTCAACCAGCCACGGATGGAGCCGTTTGATGGGGAAGTGGACGTGGATCTGTACACGGACGAGCACCTCAACGGGGGACAGACGGTTCCGGCCGTCAGTGAAGACAAAACCCACAGTGACGGAATGACATCTCAGTCGTCCTCACCCGCCTCCCTGCCCTCCAGAGAGCATGTCTGCATCACCACCCTCAACTGTCAGCTGACCAAGATGCCTGTGGAGTCGGTGGTCGGCTCCTCGGGTGTGAAGAAGCCGGGCAGACGTCCGTGTGAGAAGTTTGACAAAGAAGACTGTGAATCAAACTCGGGCAGTTTGCAGTTAGAAACTGGGAGTCCTCGTAAGAGCGAGAGTGAAGCCGACCACTTCTGCAGCTGCCTCCAGTCTGCTCATCTTTATCTCCAACGCTGTATCCAATGTAAAACGTTGCACAATATCAGCTGTGCCTTGCTTCAGCACTGCTTAATGGAGGGCCACGCTGTGGTGGTCCCTTACAATCCTGAAGATGTCAAAGAATCTGGAGCGGCGTCGCCTCAAAGTCTCGGAGCGAGCGACATGAATGCATCTCCAGCTCTCACCATCATCAGCGCAGCCAGGTCCTCCATAGTTCTGCGAGATGACGCCGAATCCGTCATCCCTTCTCTCCATCCAATCAGCTTCCACGACTGCTGCAACCTCGCCCAGCTGGACCCGCAGGTCCTGTGTCACAGCTGCAGCGTCTTCCACGCCGGCTCCTGCAGAGACCTCGACTACTGCAAGATCCAGCACACCACAAAGCTGCTGGGAGTGTGTGTCTGCGGCAAGACGTGCTCCAGAAAACCTCTGGTTCTGTGCAGATATTGTGGAATCGAGTATTGTCTGGACTGTTGGTACAGAAGTCCTGTTGTTTGCACCTGTGGCCAAACGTTTGACCAGTCGTCCTCCGTGTGACTCGTAAAACTATTGCACTAACGAGGCGCAACGAGCGAAGCCGAAGTGCCTTGAATCTGCACAAAATCAAGAACAATCAAATCCAAATGTTGCCTTGGCTCGATGCTGACTCACAGGTTTTTCTATCTGTGATGACTTTCATTAATCTGCCATCCATTCTGTAATTAGTCCGACTGACCAGATGTAGACCGTGGATATAAACGTGCCATCAGACGACTGTTTACTTCTGATTCTGCCCCCCCCCCCCTCACTGCTTTGCCGGTCACTGCCTCCTGAGCGTAGCTACGACAACACGACTGATTGTTTTAAAGATAACAAAAAAGAAACCAGAGCTTTTTTCTTTCACCTGCAGGAGAATGATAATCAGATCTGACTTTGTGAGACTAGATCACCACCATCATCAGTGTTGTGTATTGTTGTGATCTCAGACACTTCAATGTAACTTGGTGCGAAGCACAAAGTGTGTTTCATCTGTATTTGTTGCCTGCAGAGTAAAAAAAGGTCAATACTTGTCTCTGTTAAATGTGTTTTCTAACAGCGGAGTTACAGGAGCAGCTTTACCACAATCTGACTGAATGATTCACATCTGATTCACTCATAATAACAAACACATGTTATTATTGTTCAATCTGCAGATTCATTTCCTAAATGTTGGACTTAGGTGATTTATGAATAATCAAAGCTGCAGATTCTTTTTTAAATAATTGATTCATCGTTTCATGTGAACAGTTACGCCACGTTTAAGAACCGACTCTCAGCTTTAGCTTCAGAAACACAAACACTTGTTTTCAGCGTCATGTCCGCTCATGTCCTGGACATGTCCTAAATGTCCCGTCCACGTTTGATACGGTTTCCAAACATTCGTCCACTTCAACATTCTCATTTACTGTGAAACTACAAATATAGATGGACAAGCTTTTACAAACTCTTTTTAATGACATCAGTGTATTTACAAGAGTTCACATGTTCTAGAATAGTTTCCAAACATTTACACTAAGTCCGACATGATTCACTCATTTTATCATGAACAGCTCAGCCTCTTCATCCAACACGTTCCTTCACAGAACTCTTGGTTTAGTGACGTCATAGTTTTGGTTTCTTCCCTTTAACTTCTCGTTTATAAAACACGTCCAGTGCAGTGACCCAGTTCTCCATGATCCCGTCACTCAGCTCTAAATCACAGTCAGAGATTCTGTGGAGAATAACTTCAATCCACAACTGGCTCATCGGTTTAACAGATGTATGGCGTCTCTCCTGTGGATTGTTTTCTATTCGTTGTACGACTGCCAGTTGATGTTGAGGAAAGTCTTGCTGTCCATGCGGTCGATGTAGAGGACCCCGTCCAGGTGGTCCATCTCGTGTTGGAGGATACGAGCCGGCCAGCCGCTCGCCTGCCACGTGACCGCTTCACACTTTTCATTCAGACCTGCGTGATGAGCAAACACACGGACAACAACGTTCGGCAGAAACATTAGAAATTATATTTGTCAACTGATGAAAACATCGTCTGCACCTTCAAGAACACTTTTCATTCTCCATTTTCTTGTTTGGGGTTAAACACAAAACTGATTTTAATTGAGAATCTAAGATCACACAAGTATTTGGCTTAATGTTAAAGGCACCAGTGTTCTATAGGAAACAAGATTAATTTGAAACATACCCGACACTTCCACAGACAGGTAGCGAGGAACTGTGGCAGAGAATCCTGAGATGCTCTCGCAGGCTTCCTGAAAGAGCACAGTACGTCCGTCCAGCACCCTCAGCTGAGGGTTAACAAAGACCCTCAGCGGCTGGGCGGACAGACCACGGGCCTCCCTCGATGCAGCCGAACTCTCCTCCAACATCCCCTCAGGATATTCTAGAGCCAAGATCCGGAGCGGCACCCCGATCTGAGGTGCACTGAGTCCCACACATTCGAGTCTTCGCATTACTTTCACCATGGTGTTGATGACCTTCTGGATCTCGGGGCCTGTTATAGCTGCAGGGTCGACGGCTGCAGCATGTGAACGCAGCACCGGGTCCCCGACCTGGCACACGTGGCTGTACGGAGGAGTGGGGGGGGATATGATCTTGTGTTTGATGTAGTGAAGATAGGAGCGCACCTTGACGTTGCTGCAGTAAGAGCGTCTGCAGGGCACAGGCGGCAAGGGAGGTGAGATTTGTGGGCGACGAGTGGCTGTTGTCAAACTCAAGGCTCCGGCGGCTCTGTGCTGACGGCCTGTGGATGCACAGGGTCTGAGCCCCACGGCGGACAGCCGGAGCACAGACGGCCGGAGCACAGACGGTGTCAGGTTCATGCTGCAGCCGGGATGATGTGACACAGCAGGCGGCGACGCACAGTTCTGTGGAGACATCAAACAAAAGAGACGTTTATTCACTCGATGAGACAAATCTCTGTCTCCCTCAGCCGGACGCACTTTATGTCCAAATGTACAAAGACAAACTTTAAGACTATGAATGATTGTTGAAGACTGAGGTAGAACAACACAACAGTGCACAGGTGCTTTACAACTAATTTACTAATGACTGTATATTACATGTTATTTCATGGGAGGTTTTTTTGTTGTTGCTGAATTTAAAGGTTCAGTGTGTGAAAGGATCTTTTGGCAGAAACTGAATATTAAATAATTTCACTAGTGTTTCGTCTAGATTGTACAAGTTGTGGTTTTCTTTACCTGAGAATGTTCCCTTCATATTTAAATACTTTATATTATCATCAGGAGCGGGTCCCCTCCACGGAGGCAGCCATGTTTCTTTCTTACAGTGGCCCAGACTGGACAAACTAAACCTTTCCAGTTTTTCTGCAGTTGTTCATTTGCAGGATTTTGCAAAAACATTTCAGATGTTTCTGAGATTTTAAATGTGGTTTCACGAGGAGACTGTCAGACATTAGTTTAACTCACTTCTGAAACTGAACCTGAGACACAAACATCTCACAACCTGAGACTCAAACATCTCACAACCTGAGACTCAAACATCTCACAACCTGAGACTCAAACATCTCACAACCCGGTGCAGGAAACCAGCGCCCCCTGGAGAGCCGGACACAGATATGTTTGACATGAAGAACTCAGAGGTTTCCTGTTGATGAATATCGATGATGTAGAAATAAATAAAGATGAGAAA